TGCCCAGCAAATTGTATAACATGCATGTATGATGTACGTATGTACGTATGTGTGTGTGTGTATATATATCTCCATCCCTCTGCCTCCTGAGTAGCTGAGGTTACAGGAATGCACCACCACGCCCAGCTAAATTTGTATTTTTAGTGGAGCTGCAGGTTCGCCATGTTGGCCAGGCTGGTCTCAAACTCATGAACTGAAGTGATCTGCCCACCTTGGCCCCCCAAGGTGCTGGGATTGCAGGCATAAAGTGAATTCTTCTGCCATATTTCACAATATTAGGCATTTAAGACAACCAGAGATAAATAAGAGTTTCATTTTAGCTATCAGCCACCTTTTTCTTTAAATCCATTCTGAGTCCTAAGCCATGAGGAAACTGCAGGGAATCTCAGCCTTCCAGCTGAGCTCCGCGCGGAGGGGCCTTTCAGTACCTGAGACCTGGCCACAGCCGCAGCAGAGAGACCACTTCAGAAGGCCCGCTTAGACGCCATTCCTAACGGTGCCTGGATGTGGCTACCCAGAAACTCACTCTGCTGAGCACAACGCTCACAGAACGTGTCTTCCCGGACACAGCCCTGCAGGGAAACGGGCTGGAGCCCAGCTGGGGCCCAGGAATCCCCTGTCCGCCTGTCCACCCCTCCAGGAGGCCCACCCTTTCGTCCATACAGGGGACATTAGGTCTCCGTGGAGAGTAAGACGGCCCTGGTTAGGATGAGAAGAGTCAAGAGTGCTCGGGGACAGGTGCATTGGCTGCAACTGTAATTCCAGGGCTCTGGGAGGCTGAGGCAGGAGGATCACTTGAGCCCAGGAGTTGGAGACCAGCTTGGGCAACATAGTGAGACCCTGTTTCAACCAAAAAAAAAAAAAAAAAAACAAAGTTAACTGGGCGTGGTGGCCCGCGTGTGGTCCCAGCTACTTGGGAGGAGGGAGGGTGAGGTGAGAGGACTGCTTCAGCCCAGGAGTGGGGACTGCAGTAAGCTGAGATCGCACCCCTGCACTCCAGCCTGGGTGAGAGCGAGATCCTGTCGAAAGAAAAGAAAAGAAAAGAAAAGGAGAAAAAGAAGAAACAAACCAAAACAACGAAAAGCAGCGTTTAGGTCACAAAGCCAGCGAAATGAGGATGACGAGGAGCGTGGCGCCCGCAGGCTGTGCGCGCCCAGGGCCAGGGCAGCTTCGCGGGGTGTGCGTGGCGCCCGCAGGCAAGTCAGGACTGGTAAGTGACACTGTGAAGGTCACGCAGCAAGAGGGGAGCCATTCCCTGAGCCCCGCCCCGGCCACACCCAGGACAAGGCACAGGCTGCCTTCCTGGGCCCTCCTTCCAGTGGAGCGAGACCTGCATGTTACAGGGAGAAACAAGAGGGGTGGGAGTGCAGGGTGCGGAAGGCCTCATGCAGGGACACTCAGGCAGACCAGACATGGGGGTGGGGACACACATGCAAAGGCCTCACGACAGGGCAGCCGGGCCTGTGCAAGCAGCCTCAGGGCCAGTGTGGCAGGAGGAAGGGGCCCCCCACGGGTCAGATGCGGCTGTGGCTGAGCATGAGCTGCAGGGCGGTGAGTGGAGCAGCGCTGTGACTCCATGGCACCTTGAGCCACGGCAGCTGTGGTGAGGACGTGAACCTGCAAGCCTGAGGTGCTGGGAGTGCTTGGGTTGAGATCTATCCAGAGGAATGACCAGCAGGGTCAGCCTCCACCTCCCAGGCTCAAGCAATCCTCCCACCTCGGCCTCCCTAGGAGCTGGGGCCAGACGCACGCCACCACACCCAACTAATCTTTAACCATTTTATTTTTGGTAGAGACAGGGTCTGCTACGTTGTGCAGGCTGGATGAAAACTCCTGGGTTCAAGCTGTCCTCCCAACGCAGCCTCCCAAAGTGCCAGGGTTACAGATGCAGAGAATCCCACCCGGCGAAACCACCATTTCTGTTGCAAAGCCAGGTCCCAGTAACGCCATGTCAGGAGGGCTTGTGGCCTGGGAGGCTCACCGGAGATCACAGCAAGGAAGCAGCGGAGGAGCAGGCACCCTTGGGCTCAGGCTCCCAGGACCTCGCCAAAGGGTGCACGTGTCTGAAGTGACCTCGGAGGACAGAAGTGCTGGAAGCCAGGACCAGCCTCCCCCTGGGG